AAGGAATGCAAAATAAAGACAGTAAAGAGGGATATGAGGTAAAAAGAATAGTAACATCGAAGAACAATATAGTTTTATTGGGTATTATAAGTCACAAGGAGTAGATGCATCTACTGAGAACGCTTTTGAGCCATATCACCAATTGTTTCCAGCCTTGATTGCCTATTACCTTCGCGAGGACACCAACCGGTCAGGAAATCTACACATTCCTACGTGGCTGGCTGGCTTAAACTAACCGTTGCGGATTTCATCGGCTGATGAAGCCATGTTTTGGTTTGACCATCACTGGCTAACTCTTTTCCAACCTGACCCTATGTCAGTCAGCTAACATTGCCCATTGTCAAGGAAGGTGATGGCTAGACAGGCATACGTAAAACATATCCTAACCATCCAACTCAGTCGATGTAACTTCACAGCCTCGTCTATTGATTTCCCTATTTATCTACCTAGCACTCGACCGAAGCCTAACCTCAATAAAAGTGGTGTAAAAAGAACTAAATTCTTAATCAAGTCTGAAATACAGAGGTTGAATGTAATATATGATAAGATAGAATTCAATATTTTAAAAACAAAGTATAAAAATTAATAATTTTGGGTTTAAAATGTCAAGTGGAAAAGATTTAGAGTGAGAATAGTAATAATAATAATAATTTTAAACCCAAAATTATTAATTTTTATATTTTTATTTTTACAATATTGAATTCTTTCTTATCAAATTTCACACCATGTTATGCAACATTTTATATTCGTCTACTAATCATATAATTATGTACCCCTTTCCAAAATCTATACACCTTATGTGTTATTCTATATACGACATTAAGAATGTAATATATAACCAGAAATTCATATCGTGCAAAAATGCTTCTAATATGTGGAAACTATTTAAGGAAATCACTGGTGGTAATCAGATAAACGATATTCCGTATTCTTTTGATGTATGTACTCTTAATAAATCTTTTATTTATTCTCCCTCAAATGCCATGCTTCCCAGCATCACTAGTGTTAATAATAGCCCCTTTCCAGGTTTTAACAAAAATGATGTTCAAAAGTGCCTCAAGTCTCTGAACCCTTCCCAGAACTTAGGTTCAGATTATGTACCTAGTATTATTTTTTTTAAATGTTCTGATATTCTGTGTCGACCTCTCACTGATCTATTTAACGAATCTTTTTCCAGTAATATTGTGCCTGCCATTTGGAAGGACATTAAAGTTGTACCTATACCTAAATCATCTACTGAAGCATATGTCAAATTTAGACCCATTGCTATTACCTCTCCTTTTTTGAAAACTATGGAGAAATTAACTCCATTATGGATAAGATTTTATTTTCATAAATCACACAGTGTTACACAGTAATATTAACTGATGACGTTTCGAGCGCAAATTATTGCTCATAATCATATCAAGTTACTCACACACCAAATTTGTTGTGTGAGTAACTTGATATGATTATGAGCAATAATTTGTGCTCGAAACGTCATCAGTTAATATTACTGTGTAACACTGTGTGATTTATGAAAATAAAATCTTATCCATAATGGAGTTACACTCTACCACAGTGCCCAAGTTTTATACTTATATGGAGAAATTACTTTTACTTAGTCTTGTACCTTCGCTTAAATCCTTTAATGACCCTAAACAATTTGCCTATAAGCGCAGTAGAAGCACTTTAGATGCAACTGCCATCGTATATCATAACATTGCTTCCAGTCTAGACAAGGGGGCTAAATTTGTTCCTATGTGCCTTCTTAGACTATACATTTGCTTTTGACTCGGTTCCTAGGGACATCTTATTAAATAAACTTGCTGCAAGTCAAACAGAATGTTGGGCTGTTAACTTGTTACATTCCTATTTCTCAGAAAGAAAGCAGTACACCGTGTATAAAGGGAAGTCTTCCACTTCATTGCCTACTGAAGCTGGTGTCCCTCAAGGTGCTGTCATTTCTCCTTTTCTTTTTTCTTTCTTCTTACATGACTTGCCTCAGTCTGATGAAATAAACTTTATGAAGTGCGCTAATGATTTAACAGTTTCAATGGCTGTTAACTCCCAGCTACATTGTACCAAAATAAATAGCTTTCTGTCGGGAGTCAGTAAATGGTCTGAGTCTAACGGTCTTAAACTGAATCCTTCTAAATGTCAAACTGTTAATTCAGCTTAAGATGTAGAAGACAGTTTAAAGAAGCCGTCGATTCTCATGACAGTTGTAAGATTCATGACACTGATATCGGAATTAAATCAGAAATTAAGTATCTTGGACTTATTCTCTCTTCTGATCTCTCCTAGTCTTCCCATGTCTCAGCGATCTCCAGTAAAATATTCCGCCTGACATTTTACATTAAGAAGTTAAGGCACTCGGGTATAACTCAACCCATCCTCTTACAGTTCATAAACTCTTACATCCTACCTATTCTTCCTTATTGTTCGCCCTTATTCTTTCCTGATTTGCTTAAAAAGGACTATGTCACAATTGGTAGAATGCTGAAGAATGTCAGTAGAGTGAGTAGTGTACCAGTGGACCACATAGTTAACGTCGTTGTCGATAGGCACTTGACTTCGTGCAATAAATTTGCTAAAGGGATTTTGTCTGACTTGAAGCATCCACTTTACTCTCAGCTTTCATCTTGCATCTCCTCAGGTAGAACAAGAAGTAACTTCAGAAAACTGTATGCTCGCACATCTAAGTATAAAAATTCCATGATACCATACTTGGTAAGTATTTTATGTGATGAAAATAGTGTCAGGCAAGAATTAACTAACCTTTCTTCATCTAGCAAATAAACAATCTCCTCCATCCATCTTTATATACCTTCAAGTTTTACTTTTATTATTTCTATTATATTTGTGGTCCTGTTGCTTCTTTGTTTTACTTTCATAATTGCAAACACCAACTTAGCTCTATGACTGCTGTAATCTTTGTTTTTCCCCTCACCATATCATGTAAAGAGAATATTATATTCGATATTTTTAAACATGCAAGGATTTCTATACCGCATCGACAATACTGTGTGAAACAAGCCCACGGCAATTTCCACTTGTATTATTATCATTACCTTAGCTGCTATCATTATTATTATTTCCATTTTATATTCTGCATGTTTTTGACGTTACCCCTATTGTGAATGTGGAGAATTTTCCGTGTGATTAATTTTATTTATAATTTGAGGAAATTAGATGCGTTATTATGATTAATGCTGAAAATTCCATTCTGTATCACAAGTACTGTTTTTGGAATAAAGTTAATCATTATTATTATTATTATTATCATTATTAAAACATTGCTCACCCTATTATACCACTTCACACACATGGGAGATAGAACGCAGACAGCTATGATCAAAGACAGCTAGCCGGCATTTTCATATCTTCCACTCTCAATGGCCAGGTCTTGCTCACGGTCATAAAGGAGGATGGAGTAGACTCCTGAGCAGTACACACGCCCTTTGGTTGACAGCCAGCCGGATATCACGTCTACGCTTCAGTTTCACTAATCATACAATTTTTCAAGTCCCTACTTATGTGTTTTTGCAAGTGTCGTCAGCAATTTGTCATACACAGCGTTTGGCGTATTAGAGACGGTGAAGACGTAGTTATATTACAGCATGCAGATTTTAGTTGGATACTGGTACGGAAGAGACTTACCAGTTTTGTATGAAAATAACAAGGGTGAAATAATTACAGAAAACCAGACGGTTAAGCAGAAGTTTTACATTTAGGCATCGATAATAAACTGTGACAGGGATAAATCTGGTTGAACTTCCCATTCCTATTTGTATAACTGATTAAATACCATCCGGAAAGCCAAAACAAAATAGATTATCGGCTCAGATACTTGGCACTTACAGAGTTACATGTAGTAGCCTCGTAATGTGCCTAATAAAAGTTATATTTTAATAATGAGAAATATGGATAAATTCGTTCTGCAATTTTCAAAACTCTGTTTTTGTGTCAACAAGGAATTCATCATTGAGCTATAACTGGTGATACACCTAGGATGATAATACTCAAATGTTTCAGTTTAGAAAGCTGATGTTTTCATCAAATGAAATCTAGTAAAATACTTTACACCTAACTTACATTAATCTGCACACACTTAGGCGTTGTTATTTATATCTATCCTTCAATCTCAGCTTCTTCTTACGGAGTTTATTCCGTATTATAACATTGATCAAACTGTTAGTATTCAGTTTTTAACCATTGAGACTGTGCACATTGGAAGAGCTTGTTAATAGCCAACTTTATGATATTATGATGGATATACACACCTGCTGAAAATGCACAGTATTAACTGTCAGACTTGCACCTGCTACCTATTAACTAGCACTAAGAAAAGCATCCTTAAATACGAAATGAGGAACAGTAATAACAGAATCCTTAAATTTCGTGCTGGTTTTTTTCTAACCACAAGTGTGAAAGTATAAGATAATTTTTGGCTTATTGATAATACGTCAAAACACATCATGGTTACCATCGTACTTATCTATTTTTTTCTTACGTTCTCAGTGGAACACAGGGCTTCAAGCTAAAAGCTTGGACTTTCTGTATCAGTGTTTATTTTGCAGGATGAGGTTGCTAGCCTCATGCCCAACCTTTCCTCTTCACCAGCATTATTTCTGGCTTAGTGAGGTAAAGGAGTGCGTCGGTCGAGGATCGAACCCCGGACCATGTGCATGGTCGGCGAGAGTATTAACCGCTATGCCACTGACGCACTACTGTACTTATCTATAGCTAGTTTATAATAAATCCTTAATCTTAGGTTGTTTGACGCCCATTAATTATGAAACACACATATATCATACTATTTTTGTTGAATATGTAATTAAATCGTGTTTTATGATTAGAATAGTTTTAACAAAAGACATATTCATTGTTCCACAATTAAATAAGTTAAAGCAATATTATTTAAGAAGGAATCTGTCATAATTCTGGATAAAATGAAGAAAAAACACAACAACAACAACAAAAGCACCAGGATTTAAAAAGTCTGGTTAACATGATACCTATTCATTATAAGGTAGGTCGATTTATGTAACAATATCATCGATAAGAGAAAAAATATGTATATATATGTGGTATATTTACATGTTCATATGCTTATATATATATATATCGTTGTCATAAGTTACTGTCATCGTTTTTATCGACCTTTTTCATTTTGAATAGACTCTAAATATTGATGATGTACACAAAAATAGAATAGATGAACTGAATTATGCTTTAAGTTGCTCATTATCAGTCATTTCTGTAGACAAAACGAAAAGAAACTATACAATTAATTGGGAAAAAACAACAAATATAGAAGTAAATTATAAATAAATAAATAAACAAAAGAAAGAAAAATTGACCATTTCTTCAATCAATATTCATCATAATTTATGTAGAATAAAAAGTTAAAATGAAGAAATCACAAGGAAATAGAACAACAGTAAAAAGCGTGTTAGTTTTTTTTTTTGCCATCACTCATTACAAATAATCATCTCAAATGGTTCATATATAAATATAAATGTGAATAAAGATATTTGTGCGTGAATTTTAAGAATTTGTTTTACTTGATGGAGGCATATATGAAGAAGGTACAATACTCTTTATTGAATCTGTACTCTTATTTGATGTGAAACTGTTAGCCGTGTGAGTAGGTGTAGCACAACAGGATGTTGTTGTTGTTGTTGAAAAATGCATATTAGTTAAATTGTCATTATTGTTATTATTATTATCAAAAATATTCTTAATTGTAGCAGTAGAAATTGTAGGTGTTAAAGATGTTCCACCCATTGAGTTTAAACGATTTGTCTGCCCAAGTAAAATACGTATGCGAGGCCTACCACAATCAGAACCAAAAGGATCCACAAATGGTGCCTCATGTGGCTAGATAAATGTTAAACAAAGAAAAGGCATTTCATGAATGAGTTAAAACAGTAAATGAATGGAATCGTAGTGTATCAAACAGAATAACCAGTGGAATACCGAACTAATGTCACCCGTGGAAAAAATATGTTAGCAAGTGATATAAAGGTTTCACAAATGATAGTAAAGAAGAGACCATTCTGTAACCAATACTTTAAAATATGTTCTTACTTTAGAAAGTTATTAATGAAGTTGAGAAAGTATATTTAATATAAACAGTAAAATAGGATGAGGATAAAAGCTATAGCGAGGCGTTTCTGTGCATAGTATAGCAAACACCACAACATATATTCTAGATGTGTAGAAAAGTTGCCTTTGAAACACCTAAATTTAACAACTGATAAGATTACAACACTCCTCTAAGTATATTACTACAAAGTTACTTAAGACCTACTAACTTATCATAAATTATTTGAACGTTATACCTTAATGTCCAGGAAAGATATCCATTGTGAACTGTGTGCTTATTCAAGAGAGCATAAAGATGAAAATATTATGGCGGGTGAGGTGATAACCGGTGGATTGCATCAGTTACACTTCAAAAAGTGATGAAATCATAAACGCACAAAACTGAAAAGCCGATTACAACCAACCGTTTCTAACCATGTTGTATTCTGTGGTATGAAAGTTATAGAATAATCCCTGAGGCAGTACGAGTTACTGATCCACTCACTTCAGGTGTGGATAATTTAAGATGTAGAGAAAAATATTCGGGGAAATATACTAAACACATAGTGATTTCTTATTCTTTTCATTAAACGAAAACAAATTTTGCTAATGGCTTATAAAATTGGAAGGGATTAAGTTAAAAATGACTACTTTTTCCTAAATCAGCAGCTCTATGTTCAACTCGGAACCCAAGGGAATAATAATAATACAATTAAACATGAACGAGTTAAACAAATCAACAGTAAGCCACTATTTATTTCGTTGACTTCTCACCATCTGCTTACAGCCCAAAGACATAATTAAGTTTATGTACAGAAGCAGTTTTAACACACTTACACAGAGTTCATTTTTAAACAAAAAATCAATATATGCATACATTAGTAATAACAATAATAATAGTTATCACTTTGTCCCAAACAATACTAATCATACAGATTGGAATTTTTTGGCGTAACGTAATCAAATGAAAGAGAAGATGAAAATATACAGTAGTAAGGTTAAGCAAAAGACTGATAACTGCTTCTTTCTGAACACATAAATTGGGTTTCAGGCGCTTGATGGAGATTGCTTCGGCAGAATTTAGGAGAATTGAACTCTTTTGAATAATGTTGCAGCGTCTACCTCATTACCCTACCCGTATCAAGGAGATGCCTAGCAATGGCACTGTTAAAAGCGTTTGTACCCTTGTGACGTAGGCGTTTTGGTACATGTTCAGAAGATCGGTGATGTGCCCTTCTTTCTGTTATCTCAATGTAACTGCTCCCATGGATACACGTGAATTTGTATACACAGTTGGAGTTGACACGAGAAAGGTATCTATCGGCTTTTGATTGCACCAAGGAGCATGTTATCCGATAGACGAGAACCAGCTTAGCTGCAGGATAGGTTCTGGCCAGTGAAGTTCTCAATCTTCTGTTGACTATTGCTGCAATATTTTCACCTTTAAAATCGAGTTGAATGAAGACAGGGATTTTTCGCACTGCTATTTGTTTGGTGTTTGAGCCTTCACATCTTGCATATTTGTAAATGAATCTCTGTGGGACGCCGTTGTTTTTCAACATTTTTTCAAGAATCATTAATTCTTAGAATTCATAAATTTCTCTGTAGAGAATATTATCCTAGCTCTATGGTACAGAGTCTTAACTAGAGGTGGTATGTAGCTATTTGAACAATAACTATTAATATGCAAGAATCGCCCATTCCATATTGGCTTTCTGTAGGTTGATCTCTAAACGGATACAGCTGTCAGGAAGCCTTGGGTCTAGGTTTCGTGCTTGTTGACACTTGGCAGCAAGGTGTCACTGCAAGCCTGATGGAACTCATATCCCTCTTGAGATTCGAACCTGCGTCACATATAGGTGTGGTGACAGACTTTACCTCTGAGCAATTCCGACCTACGACTGACCTCCTGTAGGACTTTAGTAGGTACTCTGATTAGTCAGTAAGAAGTAACCAATGTCATGAGTCCATATATATATATATATACCAGAAAATCATTTTTGAATATCCTCTTTTGTTTCACTTCGTTTAAAAATGCTCTTATCAGTCTAAATTTTGAAAGGGTAGTAAAGCTTTTACATGTAAAACTGAAAGCATTCATTCGCTTTTTTTCACGTCTCTATTAAAGTCAATAATGTTAATACATTGATTGACATATAAAAATCTCTCAACAGTTTTAGTCCTACTAGACATCGAGAGAAAAAAGGAAACAAGAATGAAACAGCTGTTCGATTCTTTTTCCTAGTTAGTTATCTTACACTGAATTTAATGAATTATTACGACCAAGCCTTTTTTTGTACCCACTATATCCCTGTCATTTTTCCAGTACAACCAGAAAACTGGACTACTTTTGGATTGAAGTTCTTAGTTCTTATCTTCTGTATCATTTGTCATTTAAGTTTCAGTATTAAAGAAATATATGGCTTAATAACACCACGAATAAAATATTGTGTGAGCAAGACATAGCATCTGATGTATCCAGTCTTTAGTCTTTCATCTATTCTAGAACAATCAGTTTTCTCTCTCTCTCATATATATATATATATATATATGATGGAGAAGATTTGCAGCTCAGGTGGATGATTTTGATGTGGTTGTGTTCTCTGAGCTGGATAGTTAATTCGCTCAGAGAATAAATATATTGTGGTGTAATCACAATTCTTCAAACACTTATTCTTTAGGCTGTAAGCAGCTGATGAGAAGCCAACGAAATAAATGATTGCGAGGCTTTATTCTGCACAAATTGTAATTCTTGCTTTATTACACTTTTGTTTACCTCCCTTTCTGTATAATGCTTCATTGTGTCGCAGACTGAATTGATGTACTTCTATGCAGTTCAACTCAATGAAGCCTAAGTTCAAGGCATCCTGACAATTGCTCCAAACTGTCTAAAATCAATTCACAGTGCATCTCGTGACACCGAACTTTGTGATAGCATTCCAGACTTGACTAGTAGAATTCAGTCAGCATGAAGACTAAGATCTAAATATATATGTAGTTGATAACTCCTTAGTTCCAAAGCGATTCTATGTGTATATCTTTACTAAATTCAAAGATTTAGCATAACTGTTGTAGTAGACTGATTAACTAGGGCAGGATAACACATAACATGAGCCTATAACTGTTCAGAGAAGTAAGTGAATCCAATTTGTTTTCAGAGAATAATTTGAAGAGAAATAATTTACCTGAAAAATATACTTTTCATATTCTTCCAAGCATCATTTTCATTTATTTCTAAAGACATAGTTTTAATTATGAAGTGAAAAATTAATCTACAGCTGAAAAGAATGTCGCAACAAGATATTAAAATTAATGTGTACTTGTACAAGATCTATTTCAATAACACGGTGGGTCTCCATGATGTTGTACTCATTTGTGGTTAGCATTTCGATAGTTTTGAAAGTCGAGATATTTTCTGAGTATGCTTATCATCATACATGTCAAGATTAGATTCAGAAGTTGTAATGATATCACCAGCCCTGAATATCACATATTCATGATTAGGATAGTTTCCATCCTTATTTTCAGTTAAATACCTTGTCTACTGTGTTAAACTGAAACGTTTCTATAGTTAGCGATTTATGTTAGGTTTTGGGAAGCACTGAATGAAAATTTTAAGCATGTTTGCACTAATTAACAAGGTATGTCTTCAGATGTAAGGAAACTCAAGTCCCCTATGTAATTCGGATCTGTATCATCCAGTGATACAGTCAGCAACCTTACACTTAGACTACCTAGATTATAACTGACCACTTATATATTCGTATCATTTAATCATTTCTACAAAAGAACGATTGTATTGTGAATAGCTTAGTGGTAAAATAACTGACAACTAATAAGTGACTTTTTTTGAATTTCAACTAAAAGATTAGTTGTTTTAGGAATGCTGATGAGGCACGATACCTGCTTGAAAGATTCCCTGCAGATTAACTTACCCCACTTCAGCCAGTGTCATGTGACTTAGCTCAAAATCTCATAATGCATTCATGATCCATAGATCCATAATATATCAGTGATTAGCCACCATAAATCATCAGTTTGTTAAATCCACATGATTTTTATATGTAGTTTTTTCCTCAACTTCCATTTGTATCATTTAAGACCAAAGAATTTAGGGGTGATTAGTACTATAATGGGGTTTTTAAAAATGTCCACTTGATACTTAGAGTCAGGAGAAAACAGGTCATGTTTATCAGTGAAAAGAAGTAAACTTTTTTCTGGTTGATTATAAGACTCTTTTAGATCATCTGATTAATGCTGTAAACTCTGTAGGCTATTGATAAAAAAAGAACAAGATAGTGAAATGTATAAAAAGACCGGAGGATATAGATGAGGATTAGATGGTCATAAACAATTAGCAACAAGGAACTCTAGGAACGAACCAACTGAAAGACTACTGCTCAACAAATATGCCAAAGAAAATGGAGATGGATTAGACACACGCTGAGAAAACTGTTGGTTGACATCATTCGCCAGGTCACTGAGTGCGACCCGAATGAGAAACGACGACTTGGGAAAGGGTTTGAGGGTGAGATCAAAGAGATAAGGCGAGAGATTATGGACAGTCGTGAAGACAGTTAAATAGGACTGCAGAGAACAGGACAAAATGGAGATGTTCTGTTGAAGTCCCGTGTTCCACTTGGGATCCAAGGGGATAATAATGATAATAGTTCCATCAGATGAAATTCTAGACATACCGCTTTTTGGTCAAACAAAATGTTTAAATGAGGAATAAATACATTAAATTTGTTTCATAGAACGTTCTTGTTCATTTTTATTAACTAGTAGTTTGAATCTGAAAGACATGCTGACATCTCACGCGTTACAGCATAATAATAACTTCATTGCATTAACTAAGGTTACTAACAAAACACACACACACAACAGTGAAGGGCATAGCACAAAAGTGTCTTCCATCACTTTTTAATATTTTGTGCAGTCATGACAGAAAAAAATCCATTTAGGCAAAAGGCATGATTATGAAAATGTGAAGAATATAAACAAAAAGAGAGAAACAGGAAGTTTGCACTAAATAATAAGCAAACATGATTATAATTTCGATACTCAGTTGAATGAGTTAGTTGTTAGGTTAAGCAGTTAGCAAACAAAGTACCATTTTTATTTTTAAAAAAATAAATAACACCGCTAATTTGAATAAATTTGCAATAAAAATCGTTAAAACAACGACGATGTACACGTTTTTCTTTAGAAAGGATAGATATTCATCCTATTGTAGAAGTGATGAAAAATATGAGGTCCAGTGACACGCGATACCGCAGTTAACTTTCGAAATATTAATATGAATGCTATTAATATTTATGTAATTAGACTATGTAATTAGACATATTTAACATATACAAGACAGTGGTGATAAAGATAAATAAGCAACAACAATAAGCACCAATTACTATTAACGAGAGAAATTTGAAATAAAGATCACGTCTTTTACTCAACACATGAGCAATATCGTGTCAGTTATAGACAGGCCGCATGGATGAGGATGTCAAAGACAGACAGGATAAAAAAGGCAAGATTGATCTTCACTCATTTGAAATCAGTGTGAAAATTGGCTGCACTCAGCTAAAAGAACAAGAATCGGATTATGTTCAACACTAATGTCAAATCGTTGCTTCTGTATGGTTTGGAGACTTGGCACGTGGTCACCAAGAGTATTTCCGACAGGCTACAGACTTACATCAACGCCTGCTTTTGTTGGCTTTATATTGAAGATAAGATGGCTAGAAAGACATAGAAACAAGAAATTCTGACAACTGACCAACAAAGAACCTATAGCCTGACAAATATGCCAAAGGGAATCAAAATGGACAGTTCGTTGAGTAACATAACGCGCTAGGCCCTCTAGTGAGACCTGAGCAGGAAATGATTATCTGGGAGTCTGAGAATGACTTGGAGGAGATGGCGTCAGGAGGAGGAGATGAGAGCTTGTGATTCAACTAAAGAGGATTGCAGAGAACAGAGTAGAATAGAGATATGTTTTTGAAGCCCTATATACCACTTGGAACCTCAAGGGAATAATAGCATATCTATGTTGTAGGTTAAGATTATCTGTTAGGTTAATATCAAAATAATCATGGATTTTTCTCTCACAGTAAAAATTAAGTCCTAAATCCATGAAAAATACAAACTGTATAGCTGAGGAATTTATGAAATAAAAATTGTATTACTCATAAGTTACTAAAAGTAGAATGTTGTATTTAGAGTTAATAACAAATTAGTGAGTTAGCTAGTAAAAAAGCCAAGAAGCGATTGATCACCCCACATAGACATAAAAACCATGAGTTGTGAAAAGAAGACAAAAGCAAACACAGCAGACTGTAATGTAGCAATTTACCTCATGTGTATGTTTTCCAACACTAGCATGCAAAAATTCTGTGAAATAGATAGAAATTGTTTAAAAATATTAATAGCTCTTGTAATAATGAGTTAGTTGCAAATAAAATGAGACAATTCGGGTGTTTCATTTAAGGAGATTTAAACAATCGCATGAGAAATTTCATTAACAATCGACACTAATTAGAGAATGACTGAATATCACAGTGAAATGAAACAGATGCCAAGTGCTTTTTGATTTCTAGTGGTTATGAAGTCAATGTAAGTTTATGATGAGATTTATATTGAAATGAATTCATTTGAACTAATACATTGGTCACTTGAGATTAACCAGTACCATGTGTCTAGTCCTTAGTCACTTATGTTTGGGATGTTATCGCGAAGCTAGGTGATTCACCATCACACCGCTTTCTGAATTGATATTATTTGTAGTTGGAGGTAGTAGACCGGAAGCCCTGGACCTGGGTTTCAAGTTTATTGTCACTCGTCAGCAAGGCATTCCAACCACTTCTAAGGAACTAATGTCGCCGCTGACAGTAGAACCGGCGTCATTCAATGCTGCAGTCATAGTCCTTATCAATGAGCTATTCGGACTCACATTTAACTTTAATGGATAGATTGACTGACAAATAGTGAATAAGCAATGTCATGTCTCTTGTCCTTGCTTTTTGTGCCAACTGAATTCTATCAGTCAAGTTTATGGATATATATCTTACTGACGAGTATCAGAAAGCACGAAACCTGGGTCTAAGGCATCCTACCATCCGACTTATATGTCTCTTTAAACCGATTAACTTCAAAACGACACTTGAGAAGTAAGACACACTTAAAACTGTTAACCATCAATGAGCAAATAACATAATAATGAAATCTAGACATGCACTCAATAAATGCATATTCTAACGGATATCAGTCATTAAATTTCATTAAAGTAGACAAGAAAATATTATTAGGTACAGGAGAATAGTAAATAGTAATTATTGTAAAAGAAATAATTCTGACGAAAGATTCGTAATACAAGTACACAAGCCATCATGGTTTCAATTTACAGTGGGAATATCAGTGATCGAATAAACATAAATAGAGATAATGAGATCACAAAGGGATGAATCACGTTTCCTGATTTCCATGCAATTGTCGCAAACCATCGAGTGATCATTTTGATATCCTAAATAGCATGAAACTACTGAAGGATCAGGAACTGGTATTTCTTGACTACGCTGAAAATTATTTTTAAATTTAATGTATGGTGAATTTAGTTAGTATTTGGGTAGTAAAGAATAACGGCAAGTTCTGTATTTCTGTAAGTTATCTGTAGAGTATCAAAAGATGTCAGTTTTATTAAGGAGCTGTATTTGTGAGAATGCAATTTAGTTTCAAGAAAAATTTTATTATGAACTGACATCAGCTAGAGAGTCATCGAGAGGTGGGAAAGTACTGATTCACTTTGGTTAGTAGCTTGTTGGCAATGCAAACTCAAAATGGGGTTATTTTGGCAATGAATAACTGGAATTCACGAGTGACCACCGCCATTTACAATTTCAGCAGAGCAGAGACAAAAATTACGAATCTTTGCATATTCAAATCGCACACAATAGCTGAGTGGTAAATTATTCACATCAATGTCTTTTCGTTGAGAGAGATTTTTAACTCGTACTTTATGATTTTCAACAGTTCTCTCTGTAGATGCTTGCTTGTAACAAAATCTATCCTGATGTCTTAGCACAGCTGAATGCTACAGAAGCGCATGGAAAAAAGAGACCATTAGTGAACCATTAGGCGAAGAACACGAATGAAATACAAAAATTAGATTCAGGCGTTCGTAATAAGACAAATGTCAATTTTAATGACGATAAATAGTTTAGCTAACCGTTTAAGGAATAAAAAAATGAGCGCATCTGCAGCCATTGATGAAAAATTTATGTCAAAAAGAGGAAGGTGAGAGATGCTTGACTTGATTAGAAGCAACACGAACAATTAACGTCTTCACACATTTATCTGTGGTGAACAAATAAGTGGGTGATTGAGTAAGTGAACCACCAAGTTTCATATAATACTAGAAATAATTTAAATACAGACATTATATATTTTTAGTGGAAGCGGTTAAACCTACCACTTATAAATACATTTCAACTGAGACTGAAAATATTTGCTACTGACGGTTTTTTCAAAATAATCAAAATAAGTGACTGCAGGTCTAAAGGCATATAACTTCGCATCAGCTGTTTTATTCCGGATGTACTGACGTCTCCTCTTCTCTGATCAATTCTTCAAAATATCACTATGATTTATTATTATTTTTTTTATTGACTTCTTTTCTTTTCCACTTCGTCTAATGACTTTATTTATGACGTTTTATATACCATATTTTGTAAACGTCTGTCTTATAGCTTTTCATTTTTATTTCAATATTTTAATATAAAATGTGACAGTTTAAGGAAATATGCAGTTATCGTGAATTTCAATGTCATTATTCTCTGTCTAAGTGGCTGCTGCACTTTGCTTTGATAAATTTAAATAAACTCTAGACATCAAGTGCAATTATAGTTTTACAGTTAACTTTTTAGATGAAGCAAACCATGTTAGAGGAGTATAAAAAAACTTTTCTATGATATTACTAGACAGTAACGTTATGTTACTAATTATCAATTAACAAATTCTTATGGAATGACTCAGTATCAGTATCATTTGGCAGAAAACAGAAATATACAGAGCTAGAGAGTTATATGATAAGATTTCTGGTTTCCATGGTTTATTTATTTAAGCGCATTTCATGACAAAAACTCTTACGTACACCGAATCTTATAGCATTTTAGATAGTTTAAAGAATATACACTGATAAAAGGAAACTAACCTGAACAGCTTGCCTAGATGGGGTAGTCTTTTTTGAATCCGCATTATTGACAGTAGTGTTATCGCTTTTATCGTGGTGATTTAAAAGTGAAGATTTCGCTGAAGTTCCATTTTGGGCTTTAGAACGTTTATTACTGTCCTTACTGGAACTACTGTTTATTGATTTGGATGCAGTAGAATTAGTTAAACTTTTCTCAGACTGTTTTCTAACCAATGTACTTGATCTATCTTCAACATCAGATATCCAGTCCAAGTTATTACTTGAACCACTTGTATTATTAACATTTAATCCTGTAATTGACATTTGTCTTAATATTTGTGCATTTGGAAGTTGTTTATAAGAAGAATCTATTACAGTTTGTGATGTCTTACGACTACGCGTAAAAACACGTGTCAAGCGACTAGGATTCATTAAATCTCCAGTGACAGTTAGTACTCTGCGTTTTTCACGTTTTGGTGTTAATCCAATAGGATTATTTGATGCTATATCAACATAATTGTTCATTAGATTAGTTGATCCAGTTAAATAAGTTGGGAGTGAAGGTGGAGATGATGGAGATGTAAGAATCTTGTTAGGATTCGAACGAATTACATTGCCATTCATTGATGAATGATAATTAGTATCATTTGATGATGAATTTGTCAAAGATAGATAACTCCCATTAATTGCACTATTTGACGTCATACTACGTTGCATCATATTGCTTGAATAATTTGGTCGACTGGCACTACGACGACGAAAGATTCCATGTCTGTGGTAATTAGTAAAATAGAAGTAATATTATTACGACTATATTGTTTAATGAATGTAATAAGGCAAACTGAAAATAAACACAGCTTAAGATATCAAAGTAAGATATAGAGACATTGAAACGACACATATAAACAGTATCAGTATAGAACCACGCATTGCTGATTTGTGTTCTTAGTTGTCAAACCTACCTTGCAATAAAATAAAGCTAGTAAAAAGTAAACCAATGGAATCAGACTAATATCCTGAAGCCACTTATAGTATTTGAAGACAGCGAGAGAAAAGACAAAGCATATGTGTCATGGTTCTGCCTCAATTTGTTCGACTTCTTTGGCTATCTTCTTCTTTTTCTCCTTAATTTCTTTCCATGAATCTAAGTATTCGTAACATTAGATGGTTAGAGGCAATCTGCCACACGAAGCCTTCGACCTAGGTTTCGTGCTAGTTGGCACTCACCAGTCACCAAGGTGTATCTGCAGCATTGAAGGAATTCATGTCCCTTCTGAGATTCTGACCAGAATCACCCAATGCTGCAGTCACAGACGTTACCACTGAGTTATTCGGGTTCGCCATCGACCTCCTGTAGGACTGTATTGGATACTTCGATTGGACATTATTTGGAACCTAGGGTAAAGTGTCTAGTCCTTTGTTTGGTGTAGACTTAATTCTATCAGTCAAGTTTGCAATGTAGCCACCATGTTAGGTGGTTCGCCATCACGGTGCACAGTGCTTACTGGTAACGTCTGTGACTACAGCACTGGGTGACGTGAGTTCGAATTTCAGAAGGGACATGAGTTCCTTCAAGGTTGCAGATACACCTTGCTGACTGGCGAAACCTAGGTCAGACTGGGCTTCCTACTGATTGCTTCCAACCATCTGATATGAACAATTCACAGTGCACATTGATGGCGAGCCACCTAGAATGCTGGCCACAAAGCAAATTTGACTGATAGAATTCAGTCTGCATCAAACAAAGGACTAGACACATTACACTAGCTGCTGACTAGTGTCCAATCAAAACATTAGATGTATCCAAATATAAAATTACTTTAAAGAGAAGTTAATATTGCTGGGCTCTTTCACTAAACAAATCACTAACGCTTATACTTGTTATGCTTATAAAAGTGTGAATTCTTGCTCTTAAGTAAAAAAAAACTGCTCAAAATCCCATAAATCACACAGAATCGTCTGAAAATATCTATCGAAATTTGTATTTAATTATCAGTTATATATAAATGGTATTTTGATCAGGTAGTTGACGTCAAGTCGATTAGAATTTTTATGAAAAATAACCAATTCTACTTTGTTTATATTCTATTATTTTTGAATGATTACATTGTGATATGTTATATATACATATATAGTAGGATCAATAAATTTTAGCATACAACAATACACGCGCATACACATATATACATACCGAATGATGACACTGAAAACACAGGAACATACACATCTGCAAACAAATGTAGCTGAGATGATGTCTATGAGAATGGTCATAGTTGAAAGACCACCACTACTTAGGTGGTAGATGAGTTAGAAATACTGAGCGTATGCATGTTTTGTTATCAATGAATGGTAGTCAAATATTATACTAAAACACTATATTACAGTAATGATTAGAAAAACACTTGATTTCAATGGTACTTATAATAATAATATTGTGACAAGTGATCAGTGAAAATAGAACTATGCGAATTGTTCAAATCGAATGGCGACCTTAAGGAGTAGAGCTTAATATTAATGAAACAACAAAATTTGTACCAAAAAACAGTTTGTTGATTCATAGTTAATCTCTGAGATATTTCAACAGAAAGCATATAAAAAGTGGTTGTATAATAGATAAACTAGAAGAATATCAAATGGATAATGGATAGATGAGGATAAAACAGATTCCACAGAGGGATACTATAATGACATTGTTGTTTTTTGAATCATTTTTGTTGGTATGTTCTGATATAATAAATATTAGATTTTAAGGGAAATGAGAACTTCAGAGATAAAAACAGACTATTTTTCATCTAACGCGATTGTCAGTGTATTCAACAGTGACTTCAGAAACGATATTCGAAGGTAAGAGAGGGACCAACATTTTTGTCATGGGGAAAAATAAAATTGGCAACAGTAAAGAATAGACACCAACTTCAGACGACCTTGAAACAGCTAATCAGATTCTTCTACGTGAAAAGTGGTACTTAATTTATAAAAAAGTGTACTTATGATGTATATGCAATAAAAATGAATCATATAGGGTATATATCTATAATTTACTGCAAAAACTGGCCCAGGATTCTCATAGAAGTGGTTATAGACATATCAAACCAATCTGTTCTCTATTTCTTCAGCCGTAGCAGATACTGGTTGCATATACGCAATATATTACTGAGGGAGAGCTTTGATTTCGAGAAGAAAGTGTCTATAAAAATCACCACTTATGTACGACTTACCAACTTATACAGACTTCCTCACGTGAAGGGGTTGCATCTCAATGTATAACCATCAATAGCTCTGCAATACTTTTGCAGAGCCATTATCCCTCCACATATGCATGTTTTATTTCTCCCTATCAAGACATTTTCCACAGAGAAGTCAAAAACCAAATCTTGGAGATATTTTCAACGAGGATTATGACTAGCAACCATTTGTAATGCTGAGCTATCTGATTGGTCAAATCAAGGTCATTTGACTTTGGTGTCTATTGTTTACTCTTGCCATAAAATTACTTGGTGATATGTTTGAGAAATGAAATACTAAAAACACACACAAACACACTGTCAGTATTCAGAAAACCAAGATCTACTAAGTGAAGAGTGGTATTGCACTTTGTTTTCGGATGGCCTCTTCCTATCAAAGTTTCTTAGTGTTATAACAAGTCATGATATTAAAAGACTGAAATAATCATTTGTAACACATTTACGTGGTTGGTTCTAGGAGATTTACGAACCATGGGTAATCATTGTTAACAATATTTTCTCTCAGGCACAAGGAACAATAGCCTGTCTTTTATAATTACCACTATACAGTAGTGTTCAAGAGTTACAGATATGTTGACTTAACAAAAGAATTCAGTCCCCTTACCCATAGCTAAATCATTTATGATAACAAGTTTCAACGTAAAAGTATTATATATATATTATCGACCAAAGAAATATATTTTTCTGAGGATATTGACTTGAAGTTTATTCATGTGTAAATTTTTAATTAGTCGGTAAACGACATTTTACTTAATACCGATAAACATCAAGTTCTAATATCGAAATCAAGCAGAAACTGAACTTTTAATAATTTAAGTGTTAGGTCGTAGTTATAAAGCGTTTTGACTTGGATCGATAGTGATAATGCAGGATAATATGTTTTATTGACAAGCCTGGATAAGTATTTCAGTATTAAAAAGAAAACGAGGTACGGAAATGTTTTAATTAGAGTATAGTAAGCAGAAAATGGCTATCCATTAAACTAAAGATTAAATAAAACTCCAAAATGGAATATTCATCTATGCTGAAATTAATAAGATTTCTCTGAAAGAATACAAAATAGTAGAATTAAGTAGTAACATATGAACTAGTTGCTTTCACTTAATTTTGAAGATGTTACTTGAAAATTAGGGGAACAAAGACAACAAAACATATTGAGTGTCTTCATTTAGTGGAGTCATGAGCTGTGGAAAATGGAAAGTAAAAACGATAATTTAAGCATGTTAGCAAAGTTTAAAGTAAACCTCAGGTGATTTATGCTGGCCAGTAATGGTATCAGAAGAATAATTTCAAATGGCAAATGCTTGTTTACATAATTTGTGAAGTTCAAGAGTTTAAGCTGACTAGACATCGCGCCATCAGTAGAAAACTGTGTTAATTTCACATCTTTTGTATTTGTGGTGTCATCGCCACCTTAAATTTTTCCAAACAAATCAATTCATCAGATACTCCGATGTTATTATTTCATTAAAAAGTGATATTTGATTAAGTGTATTAACGCTGTTTCGGTGACATTGAATGTCAAAGTGAAATCTCCCTTAAAGATGTTCAACAGTATTCATGCAGTTCTGTGACAAGTTTCCTACAGATTTTTTATGAATTCAGAAAGATGGGGATCTCTCGTTAAACATTATTCAAGTATTTTTCTGAACCAACTTCGATTTAAAGAATCTTTGATATTTCACCTATCAGAAACGCAATTCTAGTCCTCCCAAGAGTTATTAGTGGGTTAAGAGTTAAATAAATGACACATCTCTGAAATGTACAGTATTAATTTCGACGAAGTGAAAATGAAGAAATTCTATGAAACAATATGAAAGCATTTGAATTTGCCCTTACTAGTCTGTTGTAGGCTTATAACTGCAGAGATTGAAAAAGAAGTTATTGAAAACAAGTATTAGGTATAATTATCCCTTTCCTGAAACGCAATGTCACTTCATTACACTGGCTTCAATCAAATATCAACTGCATGAAGTTTGCTTGGTATTAAAATTGTAAGAATATCATACTTTGAATGTTAAAGTAACAACAAGAATATTGCTTTAAATTAGAAAAACCAAATTTCGGAATCTATAGAGAAGAGACGGAATTCAGGAAAAGAATAAATATTACTAATTGAAGAGATTGCGTAACAACTGGGGTTCACATAACTGGAACCGCCAATCAAATAGAGAACAAAACTATTGAGTCAACCAGTGGGATGAGTCTATTCGTCCGGTTGATGACATTTATGGTAATGACCTTCGCGAAGCGTAGCTGTACAGCTATTTTCGGTACATTCAAGATATTAAAGGACTTAGAGAAGATGCTTCATATTCATCATGTGTTTAGTAGATGCACTGTTCAAATACCTGCTTCTCTTGAAAGCGTTCCTCCAAAATGTGTTCAAAAAATCCAATGGAAACCGTGATCTTAGTTCACTAGTATGTGCAACTAAAGATGATTTTAGCATACTACTTGTCAGATTTCCATTGGTTTAATAAGGTATTTCTTGTAAAATCTGAAATTATGTGGTTTTGTTCTTATT